CTTGTAAGAGCGCATTTCTCCTTTTCCGCAACTGTATCCGTGCGTAACTGTGCGGGGGAGCGCACGTGAACTTGACGCCTCTTTTCCAAAAAAAAGAATTTTGTACGATACAAAATATACATCGCGTGCGTTTGCAAAAAATTGATTCGAATAGCGAGCGTTATCGTTTTACATGTGTGCTTCCGCCGAGCGATTCATCAAACTCTTGGAAGTGAAAAAGTTATCCGCGTTAGCGCCACCTGTCACTCTCAGATACTTGAAAACATTTATTTCTTTCCACGCACCAAACCACCGCGTTCGATTTCGGTTTTCGTATCAATGACTTGCAAAAGTTTCACGCGCGGCCTACGAGCAGAGGCAGGGGTGAGCGTGATGTGTGAAAAGCGCACAGGAGAGAGGAGAGGGAGTGGAACGCGCGGGACACCGGGGGGAGGAGGGGGGTAGAAATGCGCGAGTACACGAAATACAGAGAGTTGCCTAATGCGATACAAACTTCCGATAACTATTGTAATGAAATTATCTGAAAACTGTCCCACCACCGTACGGGGCGTACTAACACGAAACTAATGCGCGGGCGAGCACGCATTATACATTTCACTCGTTAAATCGCGAAATTACTGCATAGGCATCGCGCGAATTCGCATCAGGTTGAAACTTTCACGTTATTAAAAGCAAAATAACGAAACGCCACGCAATTAGCATTTAGATGTGAAATTACAACGTCGACAAGACAGATGCACCGTGAAGGCGAAGATCCGTGTTGAAATAAAACGTATAACACACAGGACGTACACAGGTCGGAAACACCGTCGTCGTTTCCAATAAAAGAGCGGATCCGATTCGATGCGTCATTCGCCGCGATCGTTCGAGTTTTCGCATAAGCGGCCAAGGAGCGAGACCGTCCTTTTAAGTGCGGTTTCTTTACCAAAATGTGTCGATAAAAAACAGAAGTTACGCCGCCGTAATTCTCTTATTCTTTTGAGGGGAAATTTGTGTAAGAAGCAGCAAGAGGGGAAAAGAGAGAGAGAGAGAGAGAGAGAGAGAGAGAGAGAGAGAGAGAGAGAGAGAGAGAGAGAGAGAGAGAGAGAGAGAGAGAGAGAGAGAGAGAGAGAGAGAGAGAGAGAGAGAGAGAGCACGTGAGAGATCAACGGGAGTAGGGAATGAGCTAAGGGAAGGGGAAAGGGCGGGCAGCACGGATTTATCCCAAATTCGACGTGAGCTGAAGCGAAACGAGTCCCTTTTATCGGCGGATATTCTCGTCTCTTTCTCCTGCGAGCTTTACGACGGCTCTCTGCTTCTGCTTTTATCGGCCGCCCTCCGCGTGTCTCCGCGTGTATATCTATCTCAGGGACAGACAGTAAAAAAGGACCGAATTTATTTATAAGCATTACCCTCGGGAGAACGACAAAGTGGAGTCATTTCGCCGACCGAAAACTGTAAAACGGCTCGCTCGACCACGCTCGTATTTCAATTACGCGGATTTGTATGCCGCGTTGTCATTCGAATAAGGAAGCGTTTTAGCTGATGTTGGGTGTCGGAGATTTTTAAACGTACCGGAGTTCTCATAGAGCCGCTGTCAATGAAATTATTCGCGTGAGGGGAATGTTGCCGAAATTAGAAACGTTATAGGATGTTAATGCTTTAAATAAGAGAGATCAACAGTGCTTTGTGCCGATGCGTTATCAACTTTAAACATAACTTAAATAATACTTTAAAGCATAACAATGTGATTCAATATGATTGCAAACATATATTTTACAGAAACATCGCTATTTTTGGTATACATTATCTTTGAAGTAACAAACTAAAGATTCCAGATGTATTTCTTAATAATTTAATTCTTAATAATTATATTGACACATAATTTCGCAGGTTATGGCCATTAAATAACCATTGAATCGATATGGAATCGTGAAATAAACGATTGCATCGGAAATCCAGATAGAGTGCTGAGAGCTCGTTAACGAGACAGATTCAATTCTTTTTCAGATTATTACGTTTCCAATGGTGCAAGCAGAGAGAAAAGAAGACTTAACTAAACTTAGCTCTAAGTGACGCAGTCCACCTTAAATGGATTATGTCGAGGATTTGGTGCAGTTTAAGTCGTGTGCGGGAGGTTCCCACGAGGCGACGACAGCCAGCACCGGGAACCGGCGGCGGGGTAAGCAATATGCCAGTGAAATTCCGTATCAACGTTAAATCCATACGGAAGTACACTCGGTACGTGGCCCGCGTAGAATGCCCGACGTAATTACACAGTCGGGGCTGCATAACGGCACTTAACCGGCCGTTCGTAATTGCCGAGTTATCCTCCCGCGAAAATGGAACAAATCAGAATGAAGCGTACGCGGATGTTAATCAACCGACGATGCGCTGGTAAAATGAATCGCGCGTCGACGGCCCGCGCGCGGATCGATTAAACGGGACGTCCAGGTTCTCCGCAGAAAGTTAAATCACGTTTACTTAATGGTAATCCGCGTCTAAATGCGCTTACGTGTTACGCTACGCCGGGAGTAACCCGCGAAGTGCGCTTCTACTTTAGTATTAGTTCAACGTTAACTCTCCGCTTCGCACGAAATGGAGCAAGATTCACGTGCTATTTCCTTGAGTACCGTGAGTATCAGAAATGACGTGCCGATACGAGACGCGAAAGATTGTAAGGCGGGTCAAGTTATAAATATAATATAATATAAATATAATATACATACCGTAACAAAAGGTGAAGTGAAGCGCGATGGCGGAATGCTTCTTCCACGAGCATTCTTTACACATCTCGACGTGAAGCCAAAGAATTTCGTTCAAAATAAACGCAATGCAAATTCGCTTAACAGTACGTGGTAAAAGTATTAATCGAATCCCACGCACATGAAGAAAATATTATAGTTTCATCTTCGTACACAAATTCTTTTCAATTTACTGCGTTTTTAGTAGTGCAGACTATCAGTAAGGTCTATCTTGTCAAGGAACACAGTGAATTTCGCTAGAATATAGCAAATTTTTCAATAGCACAGCTGAGTTCCTGAAATATAAATATGTGAAATGAAAGGATAGTGAAATTGCTGCAGAATGTCCATCCATTCCTCGATTGCAACACCTACAGTAATCTTTACTATAAAATTCTCTCTGTATACTTGAGTAAGTATTTGTCAAAAGGTATTACGCGTACGAGAAGTAAATCGTCGGAAGAATGGTTTTAACCTTCAGTTCAAAGGCAAGTAGCGTACAAGTTGAAGTTCAACGCGTGGCGCGATTAATTTTGACATCATAAATGCCGGTGGGATTGAACAATGAAATTATGGCGAGGAAATCGAGCGAATGCGACGTAAAACATCTGTTTGATGCTGTTATTTCGTGTCTCAATTACATCGCAACTAACCCATTTCGTGGGGCAATGGCTTGGAATGATTCCCCCCCGACAAAATTGCCGCACGCTATTCTCCTCGGCGAGCTCTCTCGAGGGGCTCGGATGCCTTCTCGTTTCAAACGATGTCGATCCAAATTCTCATTAAATTCACCGTAGATACGTCCAGTTACATCGGGTCGATAGTGGAAATTCTACAACACACTCAATAATTATCTGCAATTGACGCATTTCATTCCGGCAAGCTTGGTGTTATTAGGTTCTAGAAGGAAACATTAAGAAAATTTCTCAATGCGATATATATATATATTTTTCTTTTTTTTGCTGCACCAGTCGAACAATCTAATATGAATTTTTATTTTATACAATCTAATATGAATTTTTATTTTATACAAAGTTAGCGTGGTAATTATTAACGTTGGAGATATCAGTGAAACGTTATTTCACATCATCATATTTGCTGGGCTTACATTTCAAAGTGGAGTAACTTTTGATCCAAGCTCTGAGTCAATGTCGAATTGGTCACTTTTAAATGTAATATATATTAAACTCTAATTTTTTTCAAAATTTTTTCATTATTTCCAAGATATAAGTAATACGCCCATGAAACTTCTTGAACTACTTGAACTACAAGCTACTTGAATGTAACTATGAGTATGCTGATTTAGTTTATATTAACGCGAATGGATAAATGCAAATTTTTATTTTATATACTATTTGCGTACATTTATCTCTCTTTTACTAAAAACGACGCGGTTGCTGCGTCAAGCCTTATCTCTCTCACATATGACGCGACGATAAAAACAAAAAGGCGAGGGCAAGAATTCCCCACAGCTGAAAAAAAAAAAAAAACAGCACAGTTAATTGCCGCACACACTAGGCGACCTGTTGTCGCTTCGTCGACGAACTTTATTGCTGGGATTATCGGCGCACACTTGTCTGGATAATAGACGGCTCTTCTTTTTCTAATCCGTCCGTATATCTTCTAACACGTTGCTTCAATTATAGAAACTAAAGCTGAGCTACGCTACGGGGAACTTTGTTTTAAATTGCACGACAAAAAATTTTATCAGTAAACCCCACAAAGAGAAAGATCATAATTACAGAAATAAACTTTAATATATAAAAGAAATGTTTAACAATTATTTTATTAGCCGAATGCAACATTAAAGTCAACGTATCATATTTTACACATTGTATTGTAATAATAAATTAGCAATATGTGATCAATATACAAAATTTTCAATAACGAGAAAAATCCAAGATTTGATTTCAATGAAAACGGTGATGATGATGATTCATGATGTTGCGCGGCAATTTTTTCCAATTCAGACAAGTCGCTCGCGGATCATTATCAGCAGCTTGGTTCGTCCCACGCGCGTCCCGTTACGTCCTCTGTTTGCTTAGTTTAATCCTTGCAACCCCCACCGGTACTGTATCCTTTACCGATAGTGGGGCGCGAAACTTCCCCTGCAGACAAAAAGAACATCACAGTTAATGGCCACGCACGCTGTTCGATCACTTGTCACTCGCGATCCAATAGCCGGAGCCGACGAATTCCGTCGTCATTGTTCCTTCCAGTCGCGTAGACAGTACGCGCGTGGCAGAGAAATCGAACGCTTGGAAACGGTGGCAGTGAAGAGAAGGTGGAAAGAAAAAAGACCTCACGGGAGTGACCATAGTGCGGTGGAAGTATTAATTGCACGATCTCGCGTTGCAATTCATCCCTCTCCTCCCCCCTTCGCGCGTGTATTGCGTCAAGAAGATCGTCATGATAGTCAGGTATGTGTCACGACACGATCTGAAACTTCGCGTCTTCGTTGAACATATGCCAGCCAATAGTTTGTTGAATGCACCCGACGTGATAACGACATCGATTACGAGCGATAAGGAAACGATAACTGCAATATCTACGCCGCGTGAGAAGGCGCCCTCGGGGGTGGAAAGATACACGAAGATTTGGCGATGTCTGAACCCGTTTCTGCAAAGTGAATCTTGCGCGTCGCGCGAACAGGAAAAACGTCAAATCTCATAACTACGAGTCTCGACGCGGTTTCATTTCCGATCGGCTCATTTCCTGCGATCAGTCGCGACACGCGCGCGCATCTCTCGAGAGCGGGGATTAAACGCGAATTGGAATCGCGAGTGAAACTCGCGGTGTAACAGAATCAGGGTTATGTACCGTAGATTTCAAGATAATACGAGGAGTATTCATATATTTTCTATGCGATGTATATGCACGATGTATTTGCATGCAGATAATGTAAATTATGTAGAATATTGTAAATTATATTAAAATATACAATGGAGAATAATTAAATGATGAAACGTGTTTGTGTTGAATATTGATTATAAATGTGTAATGTTAAAAAAATACACGAAATTTTCATTTTATAATGTGACAGTTTGATAGATTTAATTCCGGAGGTAAAAATGCAATCAGAGAATTCTGTGAATGCTAATTTGCTCGGGAAACAATATATACATGCTCATAAATTTACATTCGAAGTTTGCAGCACAAATATCTAGAATACATCTTGAAAACATCCTGAAGAACATTCTGAAACAAGTGGCTTGAAACAATATCGATCGTTCAAGTCTCTAAGATGTGTCTTTTAGACGTTTTTATGCTGTATGGAAAATGGTTAAATAAATATATAAACTTTTCTTAATTAATTTTCGAGCAAAAGCCATATGTTCTTTGAGCAACGTCCTCACTGTCTACACAGATGACATCTCATATATAGTTTACGTTATCTTTACGTAGAATTATTTTTTACATTATCGTATTACGTAGAATTATTTTTTACGTTATCTTTACATTATAATTTTCATTCAACCCTAAACAGAACGATCGCACGTCCCCGATACTTTTGCATCCACCGAGCATTCTTGAGATATTTGTAACAGCGCGGCTCACGAAATCCGCTTACTGAGGTTTTATCGCAATCTTCTTTCCTCCCACCTCGTACGAAAGAATAGTCACGGTGATATCCGAAACTCCGCTTATTCCGCAGAGCGTGCGCGCACGTTATTATGCGGCTCGTTGTCGTCGTGTCTGCATCCAATTTCATCGCCGACGCGAACGCCAGCGCCGACGTGGATCATCGCGAAGAGTGGGTCGTCAGAGTGCAGGGTGGATCGCAAGTGGCGTCGCTACTGGCTGCGCAGTCTGGTTACAAGCACCATGGCTCGGTAAATCCATTCTATTGATTCGATCCAAGCGAGATATATACTTGCGTGTGTATGTCTCTCTCTCTCCAATCTCATAATATCGTCAAAATTGCAAGACGTATCGCTACCCTCGCGCCGTCCACAATGTCGAACACGGAAGCGTGAAATCGATTATAGCGAAATACAATCGTGACACATTTCCGACGATATGAGTCCCTACTCTCTGAAATTACAATCAGTGTGTTCTTCACTAAAATGCCATATTTATAACTGATGGTTCAGCTATAAGTACTACAGCACTGCAATCAATAAAATCTCATCGAAGGGATCAGTTAATAGCAGCGACTGTGTTCCCGTTATTGATGCAGTTTGCAAACACAGTGTCACCGCATCCCGGCATCCACATGATGACGTCAAGAGTAATGTTTAAAGAGGATAAACTGCTTGATATCTCTGACGTCAATGATACGTCATTGATACATCTTTTGATTCAAACAGAAAGATTTTTACTGAGATTCACTCTATGAGAGAGTACTCGCTATATCAACGAGACGGGAAAATTGACAAGGAAAAGCGACTGTTATGTTCCAAGAGTAAAGAGTAAAGATATATGTTATTCTGCATCGTGCGTCATCGCGTCACTGTTTAACTAACACTTAAATACCCAGATTATCTTGTTCAATGATATTCTGTTACGCGCGTTCTGTAACATATGGCACACATCAGACCGCATTATGATATCAAGATCATTTTTGGGAGAGAAGGTGGAAGACGGGGGCGGAAATACATAGCTTCTATTACTCGCTCAGTTACGAGCACTTTTTCTTTAGTTTCGAATTATTTGTAAAACAATACTCGAGCGATAATTGATCAGTGACTTGTTAACTCGATAATTTGTTACAATTCGTTGCAATTACTTTACGACGTATCATGAGTATATAAAATTTTGACCAAAGTTAACTCAGAATTACTCATGAAATTTATAGATAAAGAAGTAGAACTTTTTTAAAATAAATAAATTTAATTATTTGTTAAAATTTTGTCTTTAAAATTAGTTATAAAAATAGTTTTCTTTTAAGTCAATTAAGAACAAAAGTTGCATCTTGTATCTCTAGATGTTCTCGGATTTTCAAAAAAGTAATTTCCAGATTACCTGAACAACCCGGGTAACGACACTAACTTAAGAAGATAACATATTAAACAAGTTATAAAAAGTTCCATCTGAATATCTCTAAAAGTTCTCAAATTATGAAGGAACATAAAAAGAAACAAACATACATTTAAGTGGAAACCTTCTTTTTCTAAAATCAGTTAAAAACAAATTGTACAGTACAAACATTATAGTAGCAGAAACTATATCAGTCAGCAACATACAACAATTTTTTTTCTGTTTTTTCTTTTAAGATTGTTGGATTATCCTGAAGAAGTCCTTACCGTCTTAAGAAGCATGAAAGTTACGCTACACTACTGACGTAGCTTGAGTAAAGTTGAACTAGAATTGGGCGTCACACAAGTAGCTAACAATAAGTTTATTAAGCAGTTGTTCAACTTTTAATTGCATCCCATTGTCTCTCTCTCTCTCTCTCTCTCTCTCTCTCTCTCTCTTTCTCTCTCTTTCTCCTCCAATTTGGTTTTAAAAGAATTATAGATATCTTTGACAAACTCATTCCTCGACTCGAGGCCGAGTGTTGCGAGCGCGAGGAAACTTAACTGATTCCTTTTAATTTACGATAACGCGATAAAATAAACACGTAATTCTTTATCTTAAAATAGCTTTCACGAACAAACTTTTACAATTTTTCCAGTGCGCGTTTCCTCGGTACAAATAACTTTTCTACTATTAGTAAAAGTGTCGTTAGATAATTCTCTCGCGGAAAAAGCTCTTTGTAACTTTTGTCGTAAGAAACAGAAAGAGAGAAAGAGAGAGAGAGAGATGTTTTTGTATGTCAGATAATTTTGATATCAGTTGCGAAAGGATTAATAAATATTCGTGCAGACATATGTAGAAATACGTATGGATACCAAGGGAGAGTCCCATCCCAGGAGTCGGCGGCATCCCACGAAAGCCATAAAAAGTATCCCAATTTCTGTGAAAAGTTTCCGCCCTGTGGGTCCCATTTAGCTCGCAAATACACGGGAAAAAAGGATGCCCCACGTGCGAGCGAAAGAATTTTCGCCTCGCCCGGCCGAGTCTTTCTGAAGGCATTCGCTCTCTCGTACTCCGCCGCGTTGAATCTAACCGGGGAGCGTAAAAAGGTGTTTTGAAATCTCGGCAGCGTGGATGTACGGAAAGCATTGGATCGAGACACGGCCGCCACATCGTTCTCTCTGACGTGCAGATGATCGCAAAGAGATTATCTCTGTAAGCGAGCCTCACGAGCCATTTGATCGTTCGTTCATTCGTTTCACCCCGTTCCACGTTTCGCGTCCGTCGATGGTAAGGGCCGCGCGCAGCTTTCTCCGGCATCTCGCAGATCTTTCGAGTCCTGTGTACTTTGCAGAACGAGTTTCGCCACGGCTTCGACGCGCTTTACTCCGAGAGAAAAATCTATCGGCGAACACACCGATAGCGTACCTTTTCCCTTTCCTTTGACGAGAACGTCTCGAGCAATCGCCTTACATTCATCCGTAGACACCGAGGATCGCCATCCCATGCGTAATATCGAAGAATCTATCAGACAACATCGATATTCCTCGTGTATTCCCGGTGATATCTCGTTTGTTAACCGTGCGTTCGATGGAACGTATATTTGGTATCGCGCAGCTACAATTTTCGCGTGAGCTCATGATACTATTGATCGCCTCAAGTAGAAAGGGTAACCTCTTCTCAGTCATCCTAACTGGTTAGGAATTTTGGTTGCTGGCTAATTTCTGGTCAATTTAAGCGACGCTTGCTTCGCCGGTAACTAGACAGTAAAGGTAATCAATTTCTAACCAAATTTCTTTTTGCATAAAATTCTGTCAAATCGATTGTTGGATTTTGCGTTGCAAAATATTATATTTTATGAGCTAATATAAAAATAACGTGAATCTCGTGTTTCAGGTGGCAGAGTCTTTTCACGCGCGCATGCAAATTCATTCATTATTGATATAGTTACAGCTTAATTTTTAATTGCCTAATTCCTGGCCAGAAATTGATCAAGAAATATTCGCCAGTATTTTACTGTCCAGCTTTTGTACGGTTACTGTCCTAATCCTAATCAATAAAAGCTGGCCAGTTTCTGACTAGTGACTAGTTTTTCCCGACTATTTTTCTACCTGAGGCAGCAACACGAATGTCCGCGGGCAAATTTACGCTCGGGAGCGAGTATTTATTGTCCATTAACCTGAATCACAATCGCAACTTCTACTCCCGAGTATCCCGACGACATTTTCGTACAAATCTGCACAATAAACCGAGAACGAAATCGCAGTTGTAAGGTACTGCTGTCTAAACCCACAAACGATAGTATCTGCAGTTATCGTGCACTTTACACAACGAGTTTTGCCTCGTCTCGCCTCGCTTCGCCTCGCCGCATGTGCGAGAGCGAAAGCATCGGTGAAAAGAACGATATCGTATCTCTTGTCGCGGCTTTGACGAGAATACTGTGCAATCGATCCTTCCATCTGTCCTACGATACGTCGTTTGGCCCGGAAGCGGCGAATCGATCTCGACTCGAGAGGAAGATGCTTAGGAACGCAAAGTAGCAAATACAATTCTTCAATCATAGAATTTCGTGCTTCTAAAACGCAGATCCCTAGAGGGATAAGAAAAAATTCAATTCGTTCTCTTGAGTTAATAATTAAAACTTTCAAGTAGAGAAAGTAAGGTAAATGGCCTATAAGAGCTATATGAAAGAATTTTTTTATCAGAAAATATTTGATTGGAAAGAACTGATTGGAAAACTGGTTAGAAAGTGCTCAGAAAGAAGTCAGAAAATGATCAGAAACCGACTAGCTTTACTGCTTAATTATCTACAAACAACCTAATAAATTCCCAAACTAGCCAGTTTTTTACCAGTCATATACTAGAATAGCCAGGATTCAGTAATCTGAACCCCTAGCCGATCACTAATTAGAAACTGATCACTTTTCTACCGGGTTAATTTCCGGAGGATAACAATGTTTTCTTTAAACATTAAAATTGATATTTTATTATCACATACATTCACGTCAAGTTCCTACCGAGATGACCATTATAAACGATCGATCGCTGTCCACGTCATGTTGCTATGCGCGATATATTGCTCGTCGCATTTATTACGATATGAGCCACCAATCAACGCTAATCTACTACCTATCGCGATATTTTCAATTACACGCTCGACATAAAATCACTGCAAAATCACAGATTTGTCACATCGTCATTATATTTTGGCGACCGACGCGAAACCTCGCGTTACCGTGCCGCAGTCAGTCGCTTCTTGAACAAGTCCCGCATGGCATAATTACGTAAACGTAGCGTGGCGGCTTTTTCAAGCTCGCGCCGCAACTCTCCTCTTCAAGTGCGACACTTTCAGCCGAGGAACTGGAAGCTACACGCGAGTAGAACCATGAGAGCGAGCGTGCCGCAGCTGCAACTGCTCTGCCAAGCAACGCGGTCTACCGCAATCCACAAGCGGAGGCAGTGCGTGAGGCTACCTTTACGCTGTCTGTAAATGCATACATCTGCTGGCTCCGACGTATAATTATTTCATATAATTAAGCTCAGTCGAGGCGACCGCCAAGAATACGCGACGTAACCGCGACGTTGACAGGCCGGATGGAAAAGTGGCAATGGGCAGGCTGCCACAAAAAGCGAAATGTGAATTTAATTGCGCGCGCGCCAAGTCGACGGAATAATGGGCCTTTACGGCCTTGAGCGATTTACGGGGCGTTTCGTGCGATTATAACCACGCTGCCGTACATCGTTGAACAATCGACTGCATTAATTCGCACGAACGCGCGCACGTTCCGAGTGAACTTACAGTTCGCGCAACGGTGCTAACTCGTTCATTGTATCCACGCAGGGCGACACCGTTGTAACCTACATTCTACGATAC